GCCTGCATTTAAAGAAAGGAAAAGTAGTTATCAAGCATTTATTAAAACTCAGGGTTCATGCAGATTTCAGTAAGTTAAATCTAAGACCTTTTAAAGCTCTTTTAAGACCATCAGGAATGACATTTAAGACCAAACCAAAGCATTAACAGAAACATTCAAATGGTCCCTGAAATTTTAGCTTTTAAAGAATATTTAATTTTAATACAAGAATGCTAAATTATTTTAATGAAARGGTCATCTCTATAACTGCTGTGGACCGCTTCCAACCGAATGCCATAATCACTGATTTCAAGCTAAGTCTCATTGAAAACACACTTTTCTGTGTTTAAACAACAAGCAGTGGACGTGACTGAACTTTGTTTTTTTGGGCAGGTGAACAAGCTGCTGTATGTGGAGGGTTGTAGCAGCAAAGAGGTTGAAAACATTGAAGTAAACTGTGCCGGGATTTGCCTGCAGTTATCACAGGATTTGTAGTTTAACAAGTACAAAGACTGGGAGCAAACGTAGCTCCTCATGAAGACAGATCACATCAACCTCTGATTACTGAGCTTTACTCTGTTTATTTATGCAGCCAACACTTCTCAGGAATGATCAAAAGCAAAAAAATTAAGATTTGACTAAATTAAATTTAGGACCTTGGATGAAAATCTGGGCGTTTTAAAGACTTTTTTAGGCCTAAAATTTAGATTTTCAAATTTTAGACTGTTTTAGACTTTTTAAGACCCTGCATGAACCCTGAAAACATTTAACTAGCTCCACCTTAAAAAGTTAATCTTCCAGTTTGAGAAAAATAAAAAGACAAACAGTTTTACCGTTTGTGGAGTATAAAATAAAAATGGAAAAACAATCTGTTGGTCCTCCTCCTCCATCTCAATCCAACTACCTCCATATTTCTCCTCTTTGTCTTTTTCCTGCATCTCAAACATCCTTCCACCAATAAACCCAGTCCCTCCTCTGGACATGTCCAAACCATCTCAGACTGGTCTCTAACTTCACCTCCCAGTCCTTCAACCTTCAACCTCTCCATCCTTGTCTGTCCCCAAAGAGACCCTGAACAGCTTCAGCTCTGCCTCTTCCAGTTCTGTCTCCAAACAAACAAACAAACAAACAAACAAACAAACAAACAAACAAACAAACAAACAAACAAACAAACAAAGCTGGTCTCACTGTCGACCACTTTGAGTAAACAAAGTATTACTTCACAGACTCCTGCTCTGCCTCAGGCTGTGCTCGTTAATCCAGTCGTCTCTGCAGTGTTTGGCAGGAACCCCACAGCCTGCCAGGATAATCTCACTGCTGGATTATGACACAGTAGCAACGTTTGCCTCCACACCCGCCCCCCCACCCTCAACCCCCACCAGCTGCTCTGATGCTCCATCTAATCACAGCTGACCTCTGACAGTAAAAAACACATGAATGAGGATTTGAAAAGATTAGAAATGGCTGAATGAAACAAATCAGCGACATCTGGGTGGACCGGACGGTGGACCGGACCCCCCCGGGGCGTCCTCACCTCTCCTGGAACTGTTTGGAGGGGACGAGCCCGGCCCGCAGGTTGCTGTCCCCCACGCGTTTGGCCTGCCACCACGTGGGGTCGTCCTGCGTCACCACCTGCAGGATGTCCCCCCGCTTGAAGGGAAGCCCCGCCTCCTGGCAGGGCGTGGCCTTGTCATCCAGTGGGGTGTAGTCGAACAAGGCTCTCATGTACACCTGCAGTAAAACAGGAAACAGATTTATTTTAACACTTTGAGTTTATAAATAAAAGAAAAGGATCGTCTCGTCACACTTCATCACCTTGCTGTCCTTCAGTCGGTCCTCCTCCTTGATGGCTGGGATTATCTTCAGAGTGATGGAGCCTTGGGATTGGGACTATGGGTTAAAGCATAAAAAGAGCTTTTGAAATATTTTGATAGACTGATTTCTTTTTTAAAATGACTCGTTTGTTCAAAAATATTAGATCATTAAGACAGTTTCAGCTCTAATATTATTTATTATTCATATTTGATAATTTATTGAATTACGTTTATCACAGAGCGGTTCAGTCTGGTTTTAAAAATAAACAAGTTTTGAACATTAAAACCTTGTTGTTCCTATAATATTGTGAAGAATAAAAGTTTGTAGATATTTACGATAAAATGGGCATAAAGTTGGATGAATATGTTCAACAACAACGATACAAACACACAAACATTTAACACAACGTTGGGTTTTATCTACTGAAGTCCTGGGCAGCTCAGGGAGGAGTGGTCTGCTCACTGAGGACAGGAGCTGTCTCCCCTGCTCTGTTCTGATTGGATAAAACTATGGCTTTGGGGTTTGTTTGATTTGTTAAAGCAGTGTCAGTTTAAACCCGGATCATTAGACTGGACAGTTTTAACAAGACCGCAACAGAAAACAACCTCATTGTGGCGACAGAACTTTAACCCATGTGGATCGGATCAGAATATTTAAATGAGTCCATCTTACCAACAGCTGGCTGATCTCATCCGGCCTCTTCTGGATCACAGAGACTCCATTGACCTCCCTGAGTTCGTCACCTACGTGGACCAAACCTGTGGCAGAGACACCAGAGACCAGACTCAGGGTTCTGCTGGATCCCAGAGACCCAGAACCAGAGAACCTTTCAAGATCCACAGCCATGAAAATGAAACCGAAGGCTGAGATCGATACGACTTTCCCCGAAATTATACTCTCTTTCAAACACACACACACACACACACACACACACACACACACACACACACACACACACACACACACACACACACNCACACACACACACACACACACACACACACACACCCCGAGGCCAGCAGCTCTTTATGACCTGACGCAGCAAGAATTCTTGAGAACATTAAAGATGTATGGTTATGGACCCTAATTGGCTTGTTTGACAGGCATGGGAGTTTTTTTGATGTCAAATAACGTTTGCATGTGGCCGATGTTGCCATGGCAACACCCATTAGTGGATCTTTTGAGTGCGCGTCACGTAACGGATCCTGACTCGCAGCGTTGCTTTTTTCCCCTCAGCCTCCGTCTCGTTTCTCCTGCTGCAGCTTCTCTGCCACTCAGAAACTAGACTGTCTTTTTTTAAAGYTTACAGTTATAAACATTTCTTTTAAAAACAATACGACAAAAAAAACTAAATAAATAAATTATTTTTTTAAAAAGATGTGTAAAGATTAAGAGCCTGTCGAGGCCTCATCATGTTACAATYCTGGTTCAGAGCTAAACTAAGGTTATTTATTTTCCTGCTGAGGTCAGTCTAACCACTGTTCTGTGTCTAAATAAGCATGTTTATAAATTAAAATAATATTTTCTGCAAACTTTAACCCCATCAAAGTTTGCTGACTGACTAAAGGAACTTTATGAAGCCTGTTTTATTTACAAAATTTCACAGTTTTTCTCCCTTTTTATTCTGTAAGACCTTCTGCAGACTGGAAATCTGAGGAGGTTTAAGGAGAAGAGAGAAAATGGACTTTATGGGATTTTGACAAACTAAGCAAGATAAACATGAATCAATAAGGCTTGGATTTCTGACCTCTGAGCACAAAACTCTGGCTCTAATTCCCGACAGAATGCTGCAAAAACCACAAAACATCCAAAAACAACCAGCTGTTTATCTTATCGCTGTGGTTTTTAACATTTGTTATATAAAGAACTGAGGTAATCTGAGTTTGTTAAAAGGAAAAAAAAAATTTTTTCTTTCAACTTGCAGTCCTCGTCTCAAAATTGTGCTTTAACCCTCTAAGGTCTGGGGTCTAAATGGCCATTTTCATCTTAAAAACTATTTACTTTGCCTGGTTTGGTATCATTATTTTCAGCACAACCAAAATGTTGACTACGCTCCCGTGTCTCCAAAACACACTCTCACGCTCTCCACAAGCGTACAAACTATCAGAAACATGGGTGTCATGTTGCATTCAAGCACTTCCTGGTCACAAATCGCTCACTGAATGCGCAGCAAATGCATAAAAAATGCTCCCAGAATTATGGTGAAAGTGTTGTATCATGAATCTGGTTTGATTTGGAAGTAAATAAAAAACAAAAACAATAAAAAAAAAAACACTTTTTATAGAGTCTGAAGTCTGTGCTGTCCAACCCAGTTGAAATGAGCGCTCAGAATGCCGCCATTTTTGTTGCATTAGCCCTTAAAGGGTTAAAAAAAAACAAGAAACAAACAAGACAGAATAAAAGGTACCGCTTCGATCAGCTGCTCCTCCTCTCATTATCCGAGCTACGATCACCACGCCGGTGGCTTCATCCCTCCTGATGGTGGCTCCCTGACAGATGGAGACAAGGAGATGTTAGCAGGACACTTCTCCGCTCCTCTTTTAGTCTCCTGAAGCCTTCGGGCTCACCAGAGGCTCTTTGTTCTTCACCAGCCTGACGATCTTCACCGACTCCTCGTCCAGCTCGTCTTCGAAGTCGTCCGGCAGCGGCGGCAGCACCGGATCGAAGTTCTTCTGGGCCACGGTGTCGTGCACCGACAGCACGGCCTGACGGCAGAGGACAGACATAAACCGTCTGTGAAATCTTTAAAAACACAGAAAAGTGATGCAGCTATTAAATGTCTGTTCACTCTGAGGTGCGGTGACGTCAGCAGGTGCAGCAGCTCCTTCTCCTCGGTGCTCATGGGTCCTCCCTGCAGCTCCTCCGCCACCTGAAAACATCCCAACAAACACAAACTGAGCTTTAAAAACCTCCTGCTCACAGGTAAACCACATCGCAGCTTCCTGTCCATGCACACCAGCAAAGATAAGTGATAAAGCAGCTGAGGTCAGCAGTTTCCTCCCACTGATGTGAGCAGGAGCGAGGCAGGAAGTGGACTTTTATTAGATGAGCATCAGGATGAGTCGGCACTTTGAGAACATTAAAATTCACATTTGATATCTGTTTGCTTCTCGGTCAGAGCCGACCGACGGAGACGAGCTGCGTTCAGAAGAAGGAACTCACATCTTCAGCCAGAGAGGAGGCGCTGTGGAGGATCGGCGCTGGACTCTGTCTCTCGTACTGCCGCAGCTTCTCGTGGATCTGCAACAAAACGGTGTTTATCAAAACGAACAGAAGGCGTTTGGTTTGGTTCATGAGCAGACTCYTCACCTTCATGAGGTACGCCAGACTCCTCTCACTGAAGACGTCTTTGAGGAAGACCATGTCCTCCTTGTGGTTGGCGTCGGGCCGCAGCTGGGAGGTCAGCAGGGCCAGTGTTTCATGAAGCCCTGCGGGGGGAGGGGGGGTGTTTATTAACAGGAACAGATGGAGCGCAGCGAGGTTCCAGCCCTGACGAGCCGTCCTACCTGCTCCTGCTGTGAGGACRGGCATGGCTTCTTTCATGGGTCAGCGAGGCGAGGAGCGGGACTCTGTGAGGAAGAGGAGAAAAACACAACTCCACTTAACAGGTTTAATTGTCCACAAGCATCAAATCTGATTATTCTTTATGTTAAATATGAAAAACAGAAAGATGCTTCTGTTCAGCTGCAGCAGAAAGTCATGTTGGATAATTGCAGTCATGCATCATCTCCTTACAGACTAATAAATCCAGGCTCATCTGTGGAAGTGTGGGATGTGCTAAAGGAAACCGGCCTCTGCTACTATTAATCACACCACACTGTCTGAGATCTGTGCTCAGCAGCAAACAAATCATCAAGCGTCAGAGTCAGACCTCGGACTGGACAGAACACAGGCCCCGTTCTGCGCATAAATATCTCAATCATTCCTCATTCATTCACTGAAAACTAGTGAATAAAMAATCCCATTGCCTTTCATGACAGAGTTTAAACCAAAATGTGTCAAATCCTGGTCCTTGAGGCTCGCCATCCTGCAGGTTTTACAGGTTTCCCTGCTTCAACACGCCTCTGCAGAACATGAAGAGGTACTTTAATCAGATAATCAGGTGTACTGGAGCAGGGAAACAAGTGAGAGTTAAGGATAGCAACCCTGGAGGACTGGAACAGGACCCCTGTTTCAGGCTGAGATTGAGTTATAATCGTAACCTTTAAAATTATGTTACAGTCACAGTTTTAAAACAGTGGTTTTCAAACTTTTTCGCTTCCGACCCACAAAATAACAGTTGCAGACACTTGTGACCCCAGATATTACTTGTTTWTGTATGCAAAGTTTGCTTAACTCTGTTAAACATTAGAAACAATATAAACAAACCTAATAACTATGATGCTAATTGRATTAATGTATGATTATTGTTGAAAAAAATGCAATAATCATGGTGAAAATATTCAATTAACAATGTTTTTTGCATTTTAATTGATGTCTGGAAATTATCTTGGGACCGTCACTTGATGTTTCGTGACCCGCAAAGGGGTCCCGACCCCAGCATTGGAAACCAATGTTTTAAATGACTCCCAGCTACAACCACAACAAACTGTAGCTCAGTACCTGTTAGGTTAGGCTGTGAGTTTTATTCTTAGAGCTCCTAACCTKAAAACTTCCTGAACGAGGACAGAGAACTGCAGCTTCAGAGTCAAACTGAGACATGTTCAAAAACTTCACTTAATCAACACAAAGTTCTCTTTAGCTGCAACTAAAGTAAACATTTGCTTTATTTATTTTAGACACCTCATTATGAAACTCCAAGACTTAGTGATTTATGCAGGATGTGGATAAAGTTTGACAAATCTGACTGATTTAAAAAAGAACATTCAAACATTTAAATACTAAAACCTTGTGATAATCTCAAGTATTCAGGAAGTTATTTATGTTTTTGTTCAACTAATCAAGTCATGATTTCTGCTGTAATTCAAAGCTGAACCAATCGAACCTTTGGGATCATTTCCTCGTTTTTTTTTTTCTATTTTTGCTCATAACTTTCTTCATGTTCAACATATTGCTGTGAAATTTTCTGTTTTTTTTTTCCCCCCAGAAGCATCTTGTCTCTTAAAAACAAAAACACATTAAAAAAACATCCAGTAAAAGTAGCAGAAAAGGTAAAACATAAAAGGCTTTGATGTGTCTTGGAAATCCAGGAAATGAAAATCACTTAAAAATCATATTTGTTTCGTAAACGAAGCCTCTCAACCAATCACAGTGTCACGTGATGAAGACGAGTAACACCTAGATCATTTTCACCGTAAAGGAAAAAAACATACTTCAACATTTCAGAACGTAGTAAAACCTGTAACAAAGGCAGATATAATAACGTTCTTCATGTAATTATTTAGGGGTCACTGGAAAAAATCCGGGCGGTTTATCCATGTTGARGTCAGCAGGGTTTCTCGTGATAATTAACGAGGTTACAGCGCAATCTGGTCACAGTGATCAGCTGTTGGATACGTCAACATCCCTGATTTATGTTCCAACAATTGACAGTTGGGGTCACGAGTCTGTTTTTTTTATGAGTTTAACACTGAGAAGCTGAGAATTTATAGATTTGAGGTTGGAGGTGCAGAAGAGAATCATCACCATCTGTCCCTRATTCAACTTCCTTTCTTCTACTTTTACTAATTTAGACATTAAATTTACAGATGAGTTAAAGTTTGTCACAGTTTTCTGCAGGTTTTAGTCGCTCTACTCTTCATGTTTGTTTTTATTTCTCTCATTAATGTGTTTTTCTCTTTATTCCTGAAGAAACCACATCTGGACCTCAGAAACTGGACCCGGACTATCCGTTCTGTTTGTGTCTCTGACCCAGCTGTGGCAGATTTCAGCACATCCTGAGCCTGGTTCTGGTTAAAAGAGGGGTTTTCCTTCCCACTGTCACCAGCGTGCTGCTCAGGATGAGAAACTGAGAAACACAATCTGCTTAACTCCTCAGAGAACTGTTAATATTTGACTTTTTATAAACGTATCAATGTTTTTGTAGTGACCTGAGGTGACTTCCTGTTAACTGACGTTGAAATAAACTGAATTTAACTGAATTGCATCTCACAGTATGTCTGCTACGATCTACATGTATTTGTAACATTTTGATTAAGGGTTTTTCAAATTTTTCCAACAACCACTGACATTTTGGGATGAAATTAAAACAAAAAAATTAAAACAAAAAA